ACTCTATCGACATCTAGAATTATGTTGGAAAGGCTGTATGTTTGAGGTATCCAAATTAATGTGAATGAGAGGTCAAAAATGCGAACAGATTAATTTGTAAGTGATGTGTTTTCACAGATAAGCACTTCAAAATTTTACTGTCTGCGCCTATCTGTGATAAAGTATCAATTCTTTTGAGAAGCTTTTGCAAAAAGATATGAGATAAAAGTCAGTTGACACTGACCTGCTTCTGCAAAGACTTCTATGTGTTTATAAAATTTTTGTGCAGTATTTATATAAATTGTCATTTATCGTATATTCTTTTGATAATATATACACTTTAAGATCGTCCAACAAATGGAGGCTCTATGTTATGCGTAGTTCTGAGCAATGCACATGTGCAATCAGTCTCTTTTCTTGGTTGAATTTGAGAAATTGGTATTTTCTTTAAAAAATTCGAGGATCATAATAGATTTTTCTTATTTTCTGCAAGTGATTGAGGATATAAATCCCTACATTACAGCTTAGTTGTCATATTGACCCCTAGATACTTGAAACGTTTGAAAAAGTTCATTTTTAAGGTATAATGAGGCTACAATATCATTGGTATGGGTGAGGAGAGGGTGCCTGTTTCTTTCTACTTATAGCCACCCACATCCACAATCACCCTGTCGAGATGTGCTGCCATATGAACAATTAGAAGGATATAAATTCGGGTGTGATTATAAAATAAAAAATTGTAAAAGATGTAAACGATTGGAATTATTAAAAGCAATCGAATAACGTGAAAGTGAATTTGATATGGTTTTTATTCATTATGAAAAATGTGGTATGACTTACAAAAAGGGAGATGATCATGATAATTTCACTTGTTTAGACATACAAATGACAAATCAAAATAATGTTTTTAAGTAACAAACTGTTTTTTTTATAAAAATGGTGTAGTGAATATTATCAGACATACATCTGGTAAAGTGGTTTCGGATTCTAATTTCAATGGATAAAAACGAAGGTCTCTATCTTTATTGGAAAAAAGATTAGAGAAACTACAAAAACATGTACCAGTGCGACAAAATGCATTTTTCACAATTTTCGAGCCCAAAGGAACTAATTAGTTGATGTCATGCAAGTTTTGTTTTGGTTCCGAATGAAAGCTCTCTATCAGATCTATTTAGTTTTCAAAACGACAATGATGCATGCTGTCTGAACCCTTAGACATTGGATTTTTAAAAAAATCTAGTGTTCTTGTGTAGTAGTTGAAAATATTGTTCCGTCTTCACTCAATTTTAGAGAATACTTGTAGTTTCATAGTAAAACTTAGTATAGACGTGGTTGACTTGCCATTATGATGAAAATCGAATTGATTTATGTGTTTTCAAAAACTTCGTCTAAGTTTTTGGGAAATCCAAGAATCGAATGTAGACAACTTGTTAGTCACAAACAAACACATCTGCAGTTTCTTTTATTTGAATCAGCTTGCGAAACTCCGTACAGAAATTGCTCTCTTGCAGTATTTGTCGAATATCAATATAATGATAGAGATTAATCTATATTTGTCCAAAATCTCAACATGTTTCTAATTTTCTCGACTTTAATTATTTCTGCACAAATAACTCAGATAAAAAATATTCCTGATGCAACACGAATCAAAGGCGAAATATATATGTCGAAGTGGACTGTAAAATTCAATTGACTTTAAACTATTTTAACGCCAACTATATGCCATCTGACTATATCAATATTGTCTGTGGCATGATTCTCAAGCGCCCAAAACTAAGTTCGGCTATTAAATACGAATGTTCATAATGAAATCTATGCTTATGTATTGCAGATTGTTTCCGAAAGTATCATGCTTTGACAGCTATTAATCAACTTGAATGAAAGATACAAGGAATTGGTTTTTCAAATCATTGTTATTTCTATTTTTCTTTTCACAAAAATAATTCACTGAAAAACGCGGTCTTATGAAGCGACCGTTAGTTAGTGTTTGGGATCATATCCATCAAGACAAACAACATCGAAATGAGTATTAACGCACATATCAGAAAAAAATATATACAATTAAACGATGGCAACATGGAGAAGAGAGTAGAGTAGAATAAGTGATAGTCAAAATCAAACTGAATACATATGCATCGTCGAACAGCAATGAATCAGCTACACGTATTAATAATCTGGTTAGGAACTGTTATGACATTTCGTAGTTCAATCTGTTGTACTCTAGTACGATTTTGTTCTTTGCAGCATAGAACTATTCGAACATTCTGTCTGAAATTATGAGACACAGCAACGAATATGTAGAACGATGCACAATAAGTTGAAATATTGACAATATTGAATACATTCGACCAAAGATTATCTTGTGCAATTCTCAATGGAGACTTTTTCATTGACTGAGTAGCCAGTGTGTAAAAGCTTAAAACAATATTGGGTATGGAGGTAAAACATACCATTCCGAATTCAGCGAGCATCATTCGAGTGACTTGCGCTTCAAGTCGATTGCGCTGACCAAGTCTCGAAGTTCGAAGATTGTGCCAAGTAAGTATAGTAAATACGGTTAGGAAACAAAGAGGTATAAGATTACTGATGATAATACCGAAATACATGACAACTTGTTTGTATACAAATGGTCCACTCGTCGTGCAGGATGGTGCTGAGTAGAAAACTGCCTCTGGAATGAAGGTAACTAAATTGATTAAAATTACTATGGCTACTGTGAGACGAGCTCGTTGTACGGTGATCAAACAACGGTAACCAACATTGCGTGAAGAGATGAGAAATCGATCAATGCTCGCCAAACATATGCATGTCATTATAATGCTTGCACTCATGCGCCCGAGTACTCAGCGACATTTACAATAGACTTCTGAGACAATTAATAAATCAATACTAGTGAGACTGAGTATGGAACGAGAAAAGCGAGCCGTTCACAATTGTACCAGACTGGCGACAAAGTAAGTGATCAAGAAAGTTGAGTTTGGCATTCGGCGAAGTGTTTTAAGATGTATAAACACAAAGATATTCAATAAATTATCAACTGTACCAAAAGCGATGAGCATTAGTCCTCCATAGGAATAGATTATTTGAGAAGCCAATTGAAGAACAAGAATCTCACTACTGACCGTGGTGGTTGACATGATCACTGTTCGCGTGACACTAATACAGCAAAACTTTATACACAGTGACTTCATTGTTTAAAAAAAACAAGATTAATTATCGAGCGCTGTTGGTTGCCTTTTTCTAAGAGAAAGAAAAGAAAAACACGTTGTTTTATGTTCATATCAACGAACATACCTTGCAAACACAATAATCAAAAGCAGATTTCATGGTTACAATACATACAAAAAAATAATGCGCTCCATCTATACCTTGAAGCTGACTGACAATGTCACAATATGTCATAGATTATGCAATAGATTATTTTCTACTGTAGGGAAATATGATAAGATTTTGCACATATTTCATCCTAGTTTCACAGATAATAGGATTATCAAAATTGACGATATGAAAGTAAAAAAAGCCGCTCATTTCCAAATTTTCACTAACTCAAGTATTGCATATACTACCAAAAATTGACCCAACACGCATAACTATCAATTCTCATGTTCATTACACTAGAAAACTAGAACTCTTGAAAATAGTTTGTGCTTCAAATAGTTCATACCCTTCAAAATCTATTCTGTACGATACCACAATAATGTCGAAATTCAAGACCTGAAAAGTGACAAGGATTTTGGTGGTTCCAACCATCTGAAATTTAGAACAACAGATGAATCACTTTTTTTATTGAATGAGCGAGTATTCAATCTACTAAACAAATGGTGAATAACAGGTTAGTTTTTGAAAGAACAAATACCTGTCATAAATCTGAAATTTTTCATAAAAAAGTATTATTTTGAAACACTAATGTTTTGAATGGATTAATAAACTCAAAATTTTGACTTTCAGCTATATAATTACGATGTTAGACCCTGTATCATACGCCACTATAAACGCGTTATATACAGAAAATTTCAATTAGATTTTACTCATTTGTTACTCAAACATTTCAAACATAAATAGATGTAGCCGTTCACGTTTTGATCTCATTTCAATCGTTTCCATCTTCATGCACGACAGTTGTTGCTAATAAACAAAAAAATGCCCGCAATCAAAAACACATTTTTTCATCTATTTTCCATNAGGTGGTTGGTATCAATCTAGAGAGCCCTTGCCTTTCTCATGACCAACTTAACGTAGCATGCTGAGGAGTTGGAAGTGGGAAGAATTTGTTTATTTTGGCCCCTGTTGCGAAAATCGAGAAGGTTCTGTATCAAAAAGCGTTGCAATCAAAGTTATATTTTGGTAAATGGTCTTTTGTAATAAAAGTCGATCAAACAAAAAGAACACTGAAAAGGATAGAAATTTTTTTTTAAATTAAAAATGGGGAAAACATCAGTTGAAAAGGGAAAGTGATCTGAACATATTTTGCCATATCGAATTCCAATAGTTGATAGGAGCTCATAGTGACGTCTTTTTCTAATATGTCAAGTATATATTATAAAATTATCATGACTACCATCGGGTACTTCCGCTAGTTCAAAATAAAACCAACAACTGATTGAAATCTTGTTTTTGGTAAATACCAATATTGAAGTTTTAGATCTTATTAAAGTGCAAACTAACAAGTCTGAATATTTTCTATAATCGATCGACAAATTACAGAATGGTCTGTGATTTTCTTTAGAAAAAGAATACGACTTTTCGATAAAAAGTAGTCTTGCTTTTTATGAAATTTGATTAAAAATCTTAGGATTGACTACATTTGTAATAAAATCTTGCAATCTACAAGTATGTGTAAAGAATATATGTTCTGATCAAGTTCAAAAAATTGTACTTGTTTAATGTGCGAGTTTGTAACTCTTATCAAGGGCTTCCATACAAAAAAAATAGCATCTTTATATAAAAATTGATGAGATAATTTGTGAAAATTCTTTGGTATGGATATCTTCTTTTCTAAAAAGGCTCTTGTATTGTGTCAGACACAAGATCTGTTCCGATTTCTGATTCATCATCACTTGGAAAATCAACTAATTCGTCATCGGACGTATCTTCATCGATTGCTGAACAAATTCGTCAAATACTATCAACAAATATAGTCAAACCAAATACTTCAAGTGGAGAAACAAATTCACAATCAGTCATAACAAAAGCTTCATTAGATAAATTACCCGATATTGTTAAAGTTGAAAATACGAATATTCCACAAACAAATAATAATGTTGCAGAAGCAGCAAAAGAATATGTTCAACAACAACAACAGAAAACACAACCATTGTTTTCACGTCCAAAAGTTGAAGCAGTACCCGTTGTATCATCTGCATTTAATTACACATCACCATCGGTAACGACAGCTGGATCTTTGACTTCATTTGCTGCACCAAATTTTCCATCGTTTAATTCAGTAAATCCGTCATTATCGTTTAATTCTGCTTTAAAAGCAGCAACATCAGTAAATGTTCCTAATTTTGTTTCTCAATCTTCTCAATATTTCTATCGAATTCCGCCACAAAATGTTTATCCATCTCCATTGAATTCGACAGTAGTTGATCCAACAGCTGGAATTTTTCAATCATATTCTCAATTTAATGTACAGCCGACACCAAATCCTTCAATTGTTAATCAACAAATAAATACACAACAACAAATTAGAAAATGAAATAAAAAGAATGTTTTTGTGAACTTGTTTGTTTTTGTTTTGTTTTGTTTGTAAAAGCTGTTTACCATTAGATAATAAACTGTAAAATATGAAACGAACGTGCCGTATACGAATTATCATTCATTTATGTTGAATGCATTCAATTTGTTTTAGTAATTACAACGTTCAGCTTTTTCACTAGCAATTTATAAGATTTTTGATATCATTGATATTATTAGTAAAGTATTTAAGGATACTAGAGTCTTCAGTTTGTTATCTTCACAAATGAAATATCATTTGAGACCAGCAAGCTTCTATTTCAATTGCAAAATATTTGTTAGATTGAACTTGTTCTTTTTTGAATAGAAAAGTTCATTGATACGCACGGAAAATGCTACAAAATTCAGAATTTGATCACTTTCTATCCATCTTTTACGAAAATGATCAAAATCTCAGAGAAATTTGGTTGATGAGTTATCATGATATTAGTGCGTCAAAGAACAAGTCGAATTCATTTTACTGCATAGTCTTCAAAAATAAGCAAATTGATTACACAATATACTACTGTAAATAGTTCCAAATAACCTTCCGATGTAAAAAAGGCAGTGATCAATAATATCAAGAATTGAAACATCAAGAAAGCATAATCAAATTATAAGTTGCATCAAAATAATGAATATTTTATATAGTATTATTTTTGTTGTTCCTTTTAATAGTCACTTTCTCACACATGTATTTAGAAGACACTCTTATCACCCATATACATCCATCGCAAGATGGCAGAACTATCACATCCGAAATTTAGCGCTAGAATCATGATGATATATTGATTTCTATGGGTTATTTAATTCATTTTATCTATGAAGAAAAAAAAACTAGATTGGAGTTATTTAATTGAGAAAACTGTTATTAAGACAGCATACAAGATATTAGCAGAAAATGATTTTCTTTCATTCTCCGATATTTGTTATCTATACTTCTAAAAATATTGAACAGAATAATTTTTCAGTGTGCTTGAAGTAGTTCTACCATCAACCGACAGACCAAATTTAATTAATAAATTTTTAATAAATTTTCATCTTTTCCCAAAGATAGCAAGCTCTTGACTATAGAATACGTAACTACTCTTTGCTTATATTTTAAAGCTGATAATCAAGCAAATAATCTCTTATTCTCGTCACCAAATCAAGATATTGAGCAGATCATACAGGCAGAAGTTTCGTTTTTTCTACACATCTTTGACAAACATGCAAGAATAGGCACTGACAAGACCAAGTTATTTGTTGAATAGAAAACTGTTCCTCATCATTGCCAAAATTATCTTTCGTTTTCTCATGTGAATTGTATATATATAATCGAATGTAAATGAGTATTATTTTTAAAAAATCATAATTTTTTCTCTTAAAAGCATTGTTTAATCCTATTGAACAAATAATGTCTAACTTCGTGATGATAAAAAAATAGATTAACGATATTAATTAACGTACTGATTTCTGCCAAAACAAAAAGAAGACTATACACAACCGAGAAAAGATAACCACGAATATCAATCGCTGCAATAATATAGATCGGTGTCCATCCTCCAACATAAATGCAAAACATAAAAATCATATGTTTCAATAAATGAATATCACGATGACGAAGTTTTCTTTTTTGAAAATGGATAGTATTTATAGAATTCGTTTGAACATGTAGTTGTATTTGCGTGGTAGATACGCATGCAAGATTGAATATGACACTGTTTGCAATAAGTGACACTAATGATGGTAGAAGAACAATAACACCCATTTTATAGTACGGCATCCATTGTGGTGTAACACAAATCTAAACAGTATCAATTTGATGAGACATCCAACTAAGAAAAGAATACGATAGAATTCAATTCGTTTGACTCATATAAAGGGTGTTCAGTAAGTTTTGACCCGCTTGATTAATAAATTTATTGATCAAGCGGGTCAAAACTTACTGAACACCCTTCATATGCATATATATACTAGAATGCTTACCCACAAATTTTTAGAAAATAATGGTAACGGTGCAATAAAACCCAGTATCAATTGACTAACTATGGAAATCGTTATCCATGCATTCGTTTTGAAAAATACTGTTTCAGACGTGGTCATATATAACAGTCGATTTATAGAAACTACAACTAATGAAAATGATGTTTGACAACTACATACCATTCGTATATAGAAGATAATAGTACATATGTTATCACTGACTTGATATGAGACATAATGTTGTAAAAATGTAATATCGATAAGCCAATAGATACCAACAAAACATTGACGTCAAGCATGCATTCAATTAAAAGACACGAACATGATGTCGGAGGAAAACACTTATAATTATGTAAATAAACACAAATATAAGCGTTATTATAAGAATAATAATTTTGAGATTTTTCAAAATAACTAAGACATCCATCATCTATATAAATCTGATGAACATCTGTAGAATGAATAAGACTTTAAATACTGCGTTACAAAGTGTTTTTCTTTTAGAAGTGATATAATATGTATTTCGATGACAAAAGTAAAATTCTCTTAGTGATATTTGCATGAATAAACTAAAGAAACTCTAAATTATTTTGCAGAAATAAGGGGATCAGAAATGCAGTCGCATCAATAGTTAATACTTTGTGCTAGATAGTTACATGCATCACGAAAGAAGTGAATTGTTTTTATTTATATTACATATCATATTGCTATTGTAAATTCCCTAATGAAAATATGAGAGAAAAAAGAGAAAAGGAAAGAAGACATCAGTGAATAATTTAGAGCACGACATCAATTTTATCTTTAAATATAGATTAATACGCAAATGCAAGCAATATAAATAATTGGAGAAAATGAGGAAAGAAAATACAGAAGAATAGTTACTAGTAGTAACTGTATTTTCTGATTATAAAGACTATATCATAATCAGTGATGACGCGTTGTTAATAATGTTAGCCATCATTTTTATTGACGCAAAAACCTAAACTGTCTTTTATCATGTTGTATAGTTCTCTAATTATGAATTTTCATTTCTTTCTAGCTAAAAGTAAGGTGAACGTACATCGATAAAATCTGAGAGCATTGATTTTTTTATAATAGAGTTTTTTATTTTCACCTTGTTTGGTAAATTATGAATGTTGTCAAGGCACAATGGAAATTGCCATTCTTTGAAATGATATTTGCTGAGCTATTGCATATCTTTAGAATACTTCTGTCGGATATACGAGAGATATTCATGCAAGTGAAACGGAGCGATGAACCCGAGTAAAAGGAATAGCGAAAAATGAATAAGGAAACAAGAAGAAAAAAGAAGCAGAAAATACAGAAGTAATGATATCCTTGAAAGATTGGTAATGTCATTTTATGTCATAAAAGCAAATAAAAATTGTTCAGATCTAATACACATCTTCATGTTGAATGTTCATGAATTACTAAGAAAAAGAAGAATATAAATCTTTTGTACTGAATCAATGCATAACGTTACCATTCATCAAGGCGTGTTGGTAGCACTGTTCACTGAATTCAAAATGACGACAATTCACTGTGCTTAAAATGTAAACTATTGTCCATTTCCGAGTTAAATGGCCATGGGAATTTTTTGAATAACTTTTGGTAGGAACGAGATAGAGATCTTCGATTTTCACCGTTGGAAAGAGCAGATGAAGACGTATCGAATTACATATAGAAAAATTTTCTAACTACTATCCTAAATATTTAGTCAAACGTTTTCAAAGAATTGCTTTTTTCTTCGACGTGAAAAAAGTGACTTTTCTATGAAAGTACTATAAAAATTTACATTTTTCGATTATTTTGTTGAAAAAAATGAGGTGGTAAATTGTGTTCCGATGGTTTGGATATCATACTGGTAGTAGTTAGAAACAGCGTCTTGATATAGTTTTGTAGCCCTTCCTTTGGCGATTCTAGGGCTCTCCTGAACATCAATAAATTAATATCGTGACCATGAGAAGCAAGCTGTTTTTCTTCAAGTTTTAAATAAAACCTATAGGAAATCAGTTAGAAAATCTTTCTATATATAATTCGATGTGTTTTCATCTGCTCTGTTCAACGGTGAAAGCCATAGATCTCGATCTCATTCCTATCAAAAGTTAGTTATTCAAAAAATGCCCACGGCTATTTAACTGTGAAATGGACAATACTTCACAACCGTACATTATGAATAATATTAAATCGGATTGTTAAAAATAGAAAGAGATCTGACTATTAAACCAATGAAAAGGTTTTATTACATTCAGTTCTGTCGAACAAAGCGTAATGTTATGCTAATTGGGAAATTTTATTTTATTTTCTATCAAAAAAAATGCTTGACTTATTTTGAGTTCGAATAAGTTTTAAGATATTATTAATGCAAAGTAAGATAAAAATTTAAATAACTCGATGTATGATTTTTATGGACTCTTGTAAATTATTTTATTCTTAATGTAATAATTTATTTAAATTAATTTTTGAAAACAAATGGAAAAGATTACGAACACTATTCATTATGAAACAGTCATCCATAAATATAACTTCTGGAAACTGAATTCATTTGTATTATATTGGATGATAAAGAAAATGGTGAAATGTCTTTGATAAGAAAAACTAAAACATTTTTACATTGAAAAAAAACCTAGATTAATTTCGTTGTCAAGAGTAATTATTACCAGAAAAAAAGAATTTAATAAGCAAACTATCTTCAGAAGGTAGCACTAACGAAAACAAATATGAAAACATCATCTATGGCTACCATTTATTTCCAAAGTACGTTCAAAGATGGTTCAATTCTATATTAATGCATCCAGAGATGTGCCCATAGGGGGGGGGGGGGGGGGGGGGGGGGCCGCCCCCCCCCCTTTTCAAAAGGGGGGGGTGTTT